TTTCACCATTTTAAAACAGAAAACTAAAAGCTGAGTATACATTTAATCCCTACAAAATCTGGCATCATCATTCACTGCTTAGCAGTTTATTATTAGTATATATGTAAGTAATGATGCCTTTTCTGCAGTGCTTAATTTTTTTCCCCAAAGTCTGTTCAAAAATCCATGTTCATTTGCTTCTCAGCCAGCTGAGGCAGCCTGATTGTTCTGCTTTACAGATGACTGTTAAGTAACCTGTCCTAGGTCACCCAGCTGGTTAGTGATCAAGCAGGCACAGAACCGAAGGATACAGGCTCCTTGTCTCATATGCTTTCTTTCCTCCACGCCACATTAGAGAAAAGATACTCTCTGAAGCCAAAGATGATATGGAACAACTTATCTACTCATCTTAGCAACACAATCTATGCAACACAAAAAGAGCTTGTCTGAAGCAAAAAGGGAAAGATGAATAATGTACCAGAGAAGGGCTAAACCTTAATGTTCCACGGACTAGCAATTATTTAGTTTCACAGTTCATTCAAAGATTCAAACATGCTTCACCAGAAAATGATTTAGTGCCTAAAGCCTGCTCCAAGTACTTAGAAATGCAGATCTGCTCAAAGACTTACAATCTGAGCCCCTCTGAAAGACCCTGTTCCTGCAAGTCTCTGAGGCAGCAGGGCTTCCCCTGAACTTGTACTTGAACTAAATGAAGAAACTGGCAAACTAAGGGCTGTAGAAACAGGCTCTCAGTGTGGACAAAATTAGAACTGGCTTGGAGGTTATTCTTGCATTGTTCTTGAAACATATGCTACTGCGAAGAGTTCAGACATTATATATTCCTTGCAGTGTAATACCCGTTGAAATCAACACTATCCTAGCAAACATAGGCTGCTCTTTCACCCCATTCAGCAAATATTACCCGCTTATACAAGGCATTGTACTAAAAGGTATATGGGATACAGAGCTTTCATCAGAGGACACAGCACATGTTTGATTTTAAATAATCAATATTCTCTCCCTTTCTCCAAAGGACATTTATAGCCACTTATGGCATACAGATGAACTATTAAAGTGATACATTCAACACACCCAGACCACATAAATCTGATTACGGACACAGTAGCAATAAAATTAAGCAAGAATTCTGACAGTTTTTCTGAGCAAAGGCCCTTTTAAATTAATAGTGTCTCTGAATATAAGAGGAGCCCATGTGAACTGAGACCTGCCAATGCAATGGGCTTGGTGAATCACTTCCAAACGCCAGGGCCTCCCTTCAGACACAATGTTATCAGGTTAATACAGCATTTGCATCACCATGACTGAGTGCCACACTGAGTAACAAACTCCCAAATTTAGAAGCTTAAATGGAGAGGGAATTTCCAATAACCAAAAGGGCAGTGGTGGATCAACCTTTGCAATACCATACATTTTCCAATGAAAAGCAACCATTAGAAATAAACTTCCTTTCCCCTCTGAACTTATATCTCCTCACATCAACACTATACTCAGAAAGGGAGTTCCTCTAAGGGAATGTTTTAGGAGCCAGTTGGTGGTTAAAAGAAAAAGCACAGATGCCTTCTTAGAACAGGAGTGGCATAGCAGACACCTTTGGCTTCCATAGCAGCAAACCTTCACCCTGGAAAGGCTAGATACTATTCCCTTACTTCTCTCCCAGCATGGATCTTGCTATTGTAAAGTTACAATAACTACTAAAGTTGGTTTCATGTCACATCCCAAAACACCCAGGAGAAAGTGGCAGCCTTGTCTTCTTTCCCAGTTGAACAAAAGCAAAAACCAATAGAACAAGGCCACAGGCAGACATGTCACCTCCACCTTCCTTGCAAAGGCTGTATGTGAAGGCCACAAGAAAAGCCCACACCATGGCCCTTTCAAGGCCCCTCCAGTCTTGGCACCCAGGACAGAGATCAGTTTTCTCTACTCAGGGTTGGGCTGGGTGCCTTGCTCTCAGTATCGCTCCCAGAAACACTTACCAGGAGACTGTGAAGCGCACAAAGCTGTATTATTGGGAGACTTGCAGACAGATTATAAATTTACTGGGGACAATCAAGGCATTTAGATACTTTTGGCTGCGGATGCCGGTGACACACACATACATACAAACCTCATTCTTCTCTCCATCTGAGCAATTCTG